GTAGAAGAATCGATGCCTTTGGGTTATGGTGTTAGAGAAGAATTTTGAAAGTGCCATGGAGTGCCAAAAAAACCCCCAATAGATCCGTTCTACAAGAAGTGCAGCCAGAGTGCTCCTTAGAGGCCAAGATGGCCAAACTTGGTCTCTCATACTTCGGACATATTGTCAGGAGGGACCAGTCGCTGGAGAAGGATATCATGTTTGGTAAGCTGGAGGGTCAGAGAAAAAGAGGAAGACCTCCAACGAGATGGACTGGCCAAGTGGCAGCATCGATAGACTCAAGTGTGGCCACAGAGGTTGGCCCAGGATCAGGCAGTGTTTCATTCTGCTGTGCATAAGGTCGCTATGGGTGGGTACTGACTCGATGGCACCTAACAACAACAACATATCAGATCAGGGCTAATCACATCCGATCACATGATTGGGACTGGATTGCATATTCAATTTCATCATAGAAGGGATAACCACTGTAACTGCTAAACTACTGAGAATCCTAGCCAAGCCAAGTTAACACAAAACCTTAACTATCACAGTGGTACAAAAGGTGAAGGCCACTGGCAGCTCACTGAAAGACTGGAGGTCAAGAGGTGCCTCAGGTGATCCACTTCCCAAAAAATCAGCCAAGAAAGCCTTTATGAAGCACAGTTTTACTTGGACACTCTGGAGTTACCATGAGTTGGGGTGGTCTTGATGGCATGCTTAACTGGATTACGTGTAGAGAAGTTGGGATGGATGGGTGGGTCAGTATGGTGTGTGTGGCAGGTTGTGGGGTTTCACAAGAATTTCACATTCAAATAAATACAGACTTTTCTCCTGTGTTTAAAAGTGTTGAAATTGTAACTGGAGCAGATGAAAATGGAAATAGCAAACTCTCTTTATTAGCAATATAAACACACACACACACACATACACACAAATCAAATGATGCAAAAAAATCTTTTTAATCTAAAAATTCCTTCCCCAGGGCTAATAGTCAAGCCCTGCCAATTTTTATCAGTTTGACTAATAACAGCTACCCAGCATTTTCTTCAGAGTAAGATAATATATAACAGATTGTGATAAACCCCTCTAAATTAGGACATGATACTGCAGGCAGTTAAAGGAAAAAGTAGCCACAATTTTTTCTTTGGTGTAACCAAAAGGATATCCAAAAGTTAGCAAATGCTGACATTTCAAGTGATAAGAAATTGCCAAATGGAAGTTTCAACTCTGTAAAAACAGTGGTAAAGGAAAAGCTCCACCCACAGTTCTGTAGTGCAAGTTTTCAAATTTCATTTTGAAAAATAATTTTATTCCATAAGCAGGAAACACATTCTAGCAGTGTATCACGTTCTCCACTTCCCCTCCCTGTCTCTTACTCCCTCCCCCGCATGTACACACCATCATTTCATTTCTCAAAGAAGGTCTCCACTGTTACTCTGTGAGGAGATTCCTTTGAAAATGACCTACATCTCTAAAAATCAGGCTAAAAGTTGCATGTCCGTGGCTGCACAGCAGCAGGTACCAGTTCCAGCGTTGCCATTACCACGTCTGTCATTTTTACAAAAAAGAAACAAAGCCTTTTTTCCCCAGAAAAAAGTACCTGAATCAGTTAGTCAGCCCTTCCCCAACTTCTCTGTGTTAACCATGACATGCCTCACCTCCAAAGCACATGTCTATAGACCCATGTGTTCTGTGCATGAACAGCCAGCAAATTTATCACCTTTCTTAGAAGCAAGTCTTACTTTTCAGATGGAACCCACCAATTTTCGTAAGCACAACACTTGGAAAGCAGCAATGACCAGAAGATGCTTTTACTCTAGCTTAACTTTGTTACCACTATTTCTGTACATGCTGCTTGTGTGTGTATTTTTTTAAATAAAAAACCTTTCAAAAAATACACACACATAACTAGCATTTAGCAAAAGGAAAACAAAATCTTCCCCAGGAAGCACTATTAGAAGTTAAGCTTCTACTTGCTTTTAAGCCACAGGGCAAGTGCCGAGTGAGTCTGAAACCACCCTCCTTTATTCTGCTGGGCCAGGAAGCCCAGGTTCACAGCACAAATGCTGATGAAGGGCTTCAGGTCTAGTGGTGACCGGTACCTAGCAGGGCTGCCCAAAGGGATCTACTGCTCATCTACAATGGGAAAGTCACATTCCTGGTTCTAACTCTTTCCGAGAAGAACCTCCACACTGTCCTAAGGAATCCCTGCCCTGGGCGCTAGCCCGACCGTCTGCTGGGCCAGCAGGTGCTTTTGCCCACAGGGAGGCGGCAGGCTCCTCACTGCGGAGCAGGTGGCCCTCATCCTTGTCGCTCCTGGTCACTCCATCCATCAAAGCTCCCCTCGCTGATCCCAGAGCCCGGCGAGCTCTGCTGTCCACGGGCTCCAGGGCCTCCCCTTCGCCCTCCGAGATGACAGTCATGGGGCTGCTCTGGATCCGGTTCCGTAAGCTGTACCTGCTACTGGCGGCAGAGGGCGGTGTGCGACTGCGCCCGTACCGGGGGCCGGAGAAGGACAGACTGCGGGGCATCAAGCCTTCGTTCTTGGCCCATTCCTCCTGGGCCCTTCTGTTCTTGCTGGGGGCGCAGCTTGACGGGCTCTCAGGGGTGTCTGCAGAGGGTTCGAACCTGGCTCTGTGGAATCGAGGGTCTGTGTTCTTGAGCATCTCGGCCGCCGACATGCGGGCGCTCGTGTCGGATCGGCTCCCTTTTTTCAGCAGCAGAGCTTTGAAGTTGTCACTGCTGGTAATGCTCTTGCGGACACTTCTCTGAATGGATCCCACTTGCTTCGGGGAGGCCAGGTTGGGGGCAGCACCGGTGGGGGTCACTGGAGGTGAGGGTGAATGGTTTCGGGCGTGATCGTCATCTGAATCTTTCCGGCCAAGAACTTTCCTTTTGGATCTGAGATTTAAAACAACCGTGGAGATAAAGGTTAATTCTCAATAGGTATTCACAGTCGCCTCCTGCATATTGAGGTGTGGTGCTTCAGGTTAATGCACTGGAGTGCAAGATTGGTTTGAAGCAGAATGCCGGCTGTTCAAACTCACTAGCCACTCCTTGGAAACCCTATACAACAGGGTCGCTATGAGTCGGAACTGACTTACAAAAACAACAACTTAAGAAGGAGCTCTGGTGGTGCTGTGGTTAAAGCACTCGACTGTCAACCAAAAAGTTGATGGTTTGAACACATCCGCTGCTGCTTCTGTACAGATTTACAGCCTTGGAACTGTAGGGGGCAGTTCTACACTGTCCTATAAGGTCACCAGGAGTCAGAACTGACCGGACAACAGTGAGTTTGGTGGTTTTTTTTGTTACTCAATTCAAGATTGCCTTTTTTTTTTTAAAAAAAAAAAAGCACATATACAAAAACAATAGTTCATTGTATTACTATCTAAGTCCATGGCCCAGTTATGATAATCATTAACTGATGTCATTAATGCATTGGTGTATCACCAACTCTTCTGGATTCTTTTGAAACAAATCCCAGCACATTAAATCAAAGGTTCTCATAAATGCCATTTTCCTCTCATAAGCTGATACTCTACTGAACTGTACCGAATGAATCACATGGTACAGCCACCTCCCCTTTCTACTCCTCTTCTTGTTTGTGCTAATACTGGAACAGACTGTTAAAGGAGAAGTCAGCTCCCTGAATGTACCGTCTACTAAGACATGCTCTTATCTCTCATTCTAGAACAACTCTACAGCTTCACATCCATTCTCATCCTGGAGCTTCACATAAACCAGTCTGCCTGAGCTCTTACAGGACCATATGCCCACTTCTAGAGAAAACAAGAATGAACCTTCTGTGCCAACTCCTATTTTATGACTGACTTCACAGAACCTTAACCACATCATGAAAATGTGAGGGGCCTTATCAGGGAAAGTAAAATGTTTCCTGTGGTTATTTCTTGTTCTCAGACTCGAAGAAAGGACCTCTCTAATCAATGTGCTTTGTACTGCTAGCGGAACAGACCCAGGTGGCCCCTTGTTGGTTTCTTCATTTCAATAGCTCAGCGAGCACATACCTAACTGCATGTGGACCTTGTTTTAAGGAACTAGATACAGTTCATTCCTGCAGTAAAATTTCAGAATATTTGGCAAGGATATTTGAGAGTATCAAGAGCTGAATCCAAACTCTGCCAACCTAGAGCAGGGTGACGCTGGCCAAGTTACTTGATGCACCTCCATTTCTCACTTGTAAAATGGGGATGACATACCAATGGGTATATCATGGGTCTAAGTCATAGAAACTTGGGTTAAATCCCACTGCTAAAGCTTTGCTATGGGATCTTGGATGAATTGAATGTTTGGATCCTATTTGCTTTCATCCTGGTGTGGTGCTGTGGGATAAAGCACTGGGCCAAAAGGTGGGTTTGAGCCATAGGGTCTCTATGAGTTGGAACCAACTAGATGGTTCTTAACAACAACCATGTGTTTTGTGGAATCAGGAATTAGTATGAGGCAAAGGTTTATCAATAAAGAAACATGTTGTACAATGATAAGCATAGGGTACGTGCTTGGTAAACATTTAAATGTTTGTTGTTGTTAAGTGCCGTCAAGTTGGTTCTGATTCATAGTGACCCTGTAATAGGGTTTCTCAGGCTGTAAAGTTTTGTGGAGGAGTCCTGATGTGGCACTGTAAAATAAACAATGAGCTGCTGACCAAAAGGTCAGCTGTTGAAACACCTCAGTTGCTACTCAGAAAACCTATACTGGTTCGCTACGAGTTGGCACCAACTTGACAGCACTTAACAACAAATCTTTGCAGGAGCAGAAAACCTCATCTGTCTCCCACAAAGTTGGCTAAAACTGCCAACCTTGTAGTTTGAAGTCCATGGCTTATCCTACAGCTACAGCGTTCCCCTGCATGTCATTTAGGGAAATCTAATTCTTAACTCCAGCCACCAGCCCAGGCATTAGTGCTGTTTTGATACAGCAAGGCCAAGGTGTGGCGAGGGGCATGTTGGCTGTCCCTGGCTCATTGCTCCCCGGGGCTTGTCTCCTTGTTTCCAGAACAAGAGGCGCCACTACGGCAGAGGGAAAATGGCCCAGTGCTGAGGCTGGAAGGTGGTCAGAACTGATGTGGCTCCAGCAATGGATGAGCCTGCCACTTGTTGAGACTGCAGAGCCTGGTCCATGATCTTTGGTTCAGTGTTTATGCTTTGAAGGTTACAAGAGAAGAGTAGCATGCTGCTATAAAGTAATGACCAAATGATCAAACCACAGCAATAAGCCAATCTCGGCATTTTAGTACAGGAAAGGACTGTCAGAATGGTCTAGTGTAATCCCTTCGAGTTTCCGAGGTTACTGAGGTCGAGGGTGGATTACCACAGTTTGTTAGGATTTGAACTAGAATTTAATGGAGTTTCTTTCCACTTAAACAACACACCTTACAACTGCTTTCTCCTCAAAAGCAGCTCTGTTCATCTTCTTCTTTTAGAGATTCCTTTTGTGGTATGATTCTTTTTTTTTTTTTTTACTGTTTTATTGTGAATTATGTGATAGTTTACATGGGAGAACATTAGCTTTACATTCACCCTATTGTATATCGTTGCATTGCTGTGGTTACAATCCCCTCCATGCATCATCAACCAACCAAAGGGTATATTCTGTAGGCCTGTCCCCCGGTCATCAGCACACAGCCCCTCTCCCTCTCTGTGTCTAAAGTCCTCAGCCACTCCATCTCTCCACATCATTGTCTCTGCCTCAATCTCTGGCGTCACTGTTTCTCTGGGTAGGGTCCCGCACTCTACTCTTCTCCCTTGATGGTCCCAGGGACCTCCGCTCCTGGACTGCAAAGTCAATCACTCCCCTCCTTTTGCTACAAAATATCTACCTTTACATTTCCAACCCTCACAATCAGTCCTGATAACAATTATTCACTACTGTATCACAAGAGACCTATCTGTATCTCATCAGACCCACCCAGACAGATTGAATACTACTCATTGGAGATTTTACCTTCCTCCATGCCCTTTTATTTGTTTTTTAAATGGTGATGGGGCACTGACAGACACAAAATAGGCCATAGGCATATTTAGTTAAAATGATGTCCTTTAGTTGTAGACTTAGCATAATTACAAAACCCCCCGTAAGTTTATAAGAGCACTGTTGCTTCTGTTCAAAGGGCAGCTAGCTGCCTTTGAGTACAAATATAAAAATTTTGTATACGTCTATTAAAAAACATAAAAGCCTATGATGGCTATAAAAAGTGCTGAATGAGTTAACACTGGCTTAAAAACGAACTACTTCAATAAACATAAAAACTTCACACCTCAACTGGTGTTCTACATTTTCCATCTGGCTGTAAATTTGAAGTGAATTAATTTGCATTATACAATTTGAAAGCTGTGTATCAATTTAGATGTTCTTTATTTAAAATTATGAGTTGAGGTGCTGAAGAACATGAAAAGAAAGCGCTAACAAGTCACAAGATTTTAAATGGGTTTTCATTATGTTGGCTAATAAAACCAGCCAGTGAAAACCCTATGGCTCACAATGGTCCAGTCCACCATCAATGATGGCAGGACTGGAAAGTTTTTCATCCTGTAGTGTTTAGGATCACTGTGAGTTGATAGCCAACTCCGTGGCAGTTAACAACATTATTATTAATACAAACATAGAAATGGTCATTTATCCATGCTTTCTGGCAGTCCACACCCACAGTCTATGGCCTTTATTTCAAAGGTTAAGTCATATTGTTGTTGTGGTTAAGTGCCATAGAGTCGCGGTTCTGACCCATAGCGACCCTGTATAGGGTTTCCAAGGAGCAGCTGGTGAGCTTGAACTGCCAACCTTGCAGTTCAAATGGCTTTGCAGTCTGACGTATTAACCCACAGTGCCACACCAGGACTCCAGGACTAATATATTGTTGTTGTTAAGTGCCACTGAGTCGGTTCCGACCCATAGCGACCCTGGACAGGGTTTCTGAGGAGCAGATGGTGAGTTTGAACCGCCAAACTTGCAGTTCAAACGGCTTTGCAGTCTGGCACATTAACCCACAGCGCCACATCAAGATTCCTGGACTAATCTAGATGGGCCAATTTCTCTACTTGCAGCAGATGTAGTCTCTAATAGGAAGGACCACGAATTTTTTGGTATCTTAAGAAGACAGTCAAACCAAAATATAGACGAGACCATTGGTATAATTTTAGGAGACGCATGTAGCAATTTGGCTCCACAAAAGTTGGTTTCTCACTGAAAGCAAGCATTTAGTATACAGAACAAGCAGGCAGCCCAGACCTCCTCTGTGGATTACTATTAGAAATAGATGTGCATATATACTTAGCAGTCCAGTGCATTCCATACTAAATGAAGGAGTCTGAGTCCTGGAGGAATTTTCTAACAGTTAAATTACAGTTGGTCTCATTTAATTCAGAAAGTACTTACTGAGTGCTTATTGTATGTGTTTAGCATGGTTAAAGTTGGAGATAACATCCAAGTAAACTAGAAAAGCCAGTAAAGTTGGTTTTCAAAGGATACATGCAGCATTTCTCATTTCCCTGTTTTGAAAAATTTTAATTTGATAACTAGCTACCTTTTTCTTTGTACTGCAATCCAAGAACCCAGTCAGGAAGCATTAAAGGGACAGCATTTAGCTTCTCCTGGAATATTATACTAATATTAGATCTGAGAGGTAAAAGACATCATTCTTGACAAACTCCTTCATTCATCCGCTCCCCATAACCCAAACGACAGGTTTATATGCTACATGAGAAGCTTCAGGTGAGACAACACAATGCTTTCATCTCATGCACAGCTCTTTTTACTTAGCTCCCAAGACATGGGAAAACTGCGCTGCTACAAGGTTATTCACACAGAGCATTTATTGTTTCTATAGGATTGCACTGTTTCAGGCAGGAAAAGAAACCTTGATTCAGAGCAATATGAGGTCTTGGCAATGTAAAGACATTCATAAAAGCTGTCTGAAAATACTGTGAGAAAGAAGGCTAGAAGAAAGCAAAAGGCATCATGATTTGAAGTACTTGCACCTACTTGATCTTAATAAATTTTTACAATGGCATTGTAGACGGCAGTTAGCTATTTACAACTAGGAAAATGACGCACCAAATGCAATTTTCATGCTAGATGGATTTCATGCTTAAAAGTAGCCTTATATAAAAAGGATAACAGGTCAGGCCGTTGTTTTGAAAATTTTACAGTGTATGTATATTTTGGGAGTACAGTAGCTACATAAGATAAGAACTGGAATTAAACCACTAGGTCTGCAGTTCGAGCCCACCAGCCACTCTGTGGGAGAAAGATGAGGCTTTCTGCTCCTGCAAAGATTTAAAGCCTCAGAAACCCCATAAAAGGGTCACTTCTGCTGCACAAGACCTTTTTAAAGTGAAGAGCAAAGATGTCAGCTTGAGGACTAAAGTGTGCCTGACCCAAGCCATGGTATTTTCAATAACCTCACATGGAAGCAAAAGCTAGATAGTGAATAAGGAAGACCGTAGAAGAATTGATGCATTTGAGTTATGGTGGTAGAGGAGAATATTGAAAGTGCCATGGGCTGCCAAAAGAACCAACAGATCTGTGTTGGAAGAGGTGCAGCCAGAATGCTCCTTGGAGCCCAAGATGGCCAAACTTTGTCTCTCATACTTTGGACATATTGTCAGGAGAGAGCAGTCGCTGGAGAAGGATATCATGTTTGGTAGGGTGGACGGTCAGAGAAAAAGAGGAAGACCCCCAAAGAGATGGATTTGTAAAGTGGCAGCATCGATGGGCTCAAGCATGGCAATGACTGTGAGGTTGGCCCAGGACTGGTCAGTGTTTCGTTCTGTTGTGTATAGGGTCGCTATGAGTTGGTACCAACTGGATGGCACCTAACAACATCAACAAATGAGTCGGAATGGTACTTAACAACAATGCTTATTTTGTAAATGCAACCATTTCTGAAGCCAGTAGATGGCACTAGTGTTCTATTATTGCTGTTAAGGTCCTTCGAATTGGTTCTGGATTTCTGAGGAGCGAGTGGTGGGTTTGAACCACCCACCTTGTTGTTCAAACTGATCTTGTGCTACACCAGAACTCCAGTGGTATATAAACAGCAACAACAACAACAAGCTCACTGGTGTCTAGTGGCTTCTGACTCCTTGTGACTCACAGAGAGTACAACTGCTCTAGAGGATTTCTGAAGCTCTGGATCTTTATGCAAGCAGACTGCCTCATCTTTCGCTTTAGGATTGGCTGAGCTGGCAGCAGCCCAACACTTTATGCTTACCCCACTGCCACCAAGGCTCTTTGAGGCAGCCAAAGAAACTGCAAAATAAAATCCAGATTTTTTCTGTAAAGTTAAGAGAATAATGTAGTGCTGTAGCACCGGACCAGATTGCTAACCAGAAGTCATTGGTTCAAATCCACCAGCTGCTCCTTGGGGATCCTACACAGCGTCGCTCTGAGTGAAGAGGAGTGCTAGTCTGTGCATTCTAAATTCATAGAGCATGACAAACCTCACTCTGAAGTGGACTCTTTTCTGCTCTCATCCAGCTTGTAGAAACACCATCAAATGACAGACACTTTATTTCTTGCCTGCAGGAGTGAAGGTGTCATGTGAGCCTCTGCCCTCCCCTCCCCAAATCATCATAAAAATCAGTGTGGCAAAGTAAAAACAGAAAATACAGAGAAGAAATGAAATATAGAAAATACATGAAAAAAAAAAATCATCAGCAAAGCTAATGAATCACAAATGTGTGGCAGATGAAACCTCGGGATGGGGAATCAATGAACCAGCATCTGGGAAAGGTTCACATCAGAGGAAGAGTTTGGGGTACCTGTGAATAGCTGCAAAGAGATCTTCTGTGGTTCTGGGTCTGCTGGGGGTCGTCACCTCATCACTCCCTTCTTCCCTGAGGACGTCCCAGGTCTCTGATGAAGATGCTGCTGTTTCTGTCTCCAGCACTCCAGCTAGACAGAGAAGCGAACATGAAAACATACTAGACCCACAAGGCCCTTGAGTGACAGCCCAATTCCCCACGTATACTTCCCTAGCATTCCCAGCAGTGAGAGCCCAGGACATGAAGGGAGTCTGTGCTTTGGTATTTTGCAAGGATTGACACTAGCGTGTGACCCAAACTCACAGTTTTTCGTTACTGTCTCCAACTACTGAATCACTTTTAAATTCTGTTGACCTTTCTCTGCTGCTCTTCAGAAGCAAGATTACAGATTGCTATTTAACATCTTGGTCGCCAGCAAAATTTATAGTCTCACAAACCCTACTAGAGGACATTCGGCATGCTCAGACCATCCCTCTGGGTTCTGCTATCCTGAAAGCCCATCCTTTAGCCTACTGCTTGGATTTTTTTCCCCCCTCAAAAAATTCATAAAATGCAAAGTTGGAAACCTCACGTGTAAGGCAGCACAAGAAGCCCACATACACGGTCTTAAATGTGATTCTAATCGGATCTACTTTGGCTGCATGTGTGAACATTCAACAGCTGTAGATGTCTCAGCTGTGTATGGCCAGAGAAGAATGAGAGCACAAAACCCAGACTTACCTCCTCCACTGTCCTGAAACAGGCACTGCTCCCCACTGCCCACGCTATCCGCACTGTTCTCACTGCTGCTGCCTTCATCGGAGGTGCAGGGCTCTTCCTGCTTGGGGGCTGGCGAGACATCAGGCTGTACCATGGGGGCATTGGCTTCCACTCTGCCAAGGGATGTGGATCCTGCAGCTCCTCCCTCAAGAATCGAGCTGCTGGAGTCCGGCTCATCAGAACTGGTTCTGGTTGCAAAACTCACTTGTGCCCCTTTGCTGTGCACAGAGTCCGCCTCTCTCCTGGTGAGGTTGGGCGCGTCTCGGAAGACTTCACTCACGTTCTCTGTGTGCTCCGCTGTGAAATCTCTCTGAGGAGGTGGTACCAAAAGGAACAGTTTGGGCTTCTTTGAAATAGGAGGCGGCTTTCTGCTGGGTGAGGAGCCAGGTGGCTCCGTTGGCGAGCCCGGCTGCTCCTGGACCGGTGCAGTCCTGAAGCCGGCCTGCGCCTTTGCACTGTGCGCAGCGGCCGGGGCTGCAGCCTCAGCATCCGTCCGTGGAAATGAAGCTCCAGAGGCCTGGGCCGGCTGCGCTCCATCTCTGCGGCTCTGAAGGCCGACACGCTCAGCTGCACTGTCATGGTGACCCTGACTGGCACTCTTGGCAGGAGCTGGAAGCCAGCCTTTGGCGGAGGCATTCTGGCTTTTAGTCTCCATTTCATTTATGCTATTTCTGGATTTCAGGAAAGCAGATGGCTTTAAATGATACTGGGGAACAACCGGAGTTGATTTTTCCTGAGATATTCTTTCAGACAACAGTGCTCCCTCCGTTCCTGAGTTCTTCTTCACCGGCCTCAACTGTACCATCTGTAATGCTTCGGTGGTTATGAGGGGCATAGTGAGTCTGGAGTTCTCCTCCTTGTGACAAGGCTGCTTTAAAGCATCACAGGAGGAACCTGGGGGCTTAGCTTGTTTGTAAAAAGGCCTGGTGTCTTTCAATAATTTGGGGTCAAGAGGTGGAGCAGGCGGTGGACCTGAAGAAGGTAAGAAAGGTGGAGGAGAGGGTAAAGAAGGGGATGGGTCTGGAAGAATGGGGCTAAGTGATGTGGGGGGAGGAGGAAGGCATCCCTCCACCGGGAAACAGAAAGGAGTTAGAACTTCTAACGGTGGAGGGGGGAAGACGGGAGAGTGAGGCACAGGAGAGCCCCCAGAGGAGTCTGCGACAGGAGGAGGAGGCAGAGAAGACTTGTCAGTAGGATAGGGAGATGGCAGAGAAGGAGGGGGAGCCAGAGGAGACCCAGCTGATGAATCCAGTTTCTTTACAGTACCACTTCCTTCAGTAGACGTATTAGAAGAAAGAGAAGTTGAAGATGAGGAAATGGATATGGAGGATATCAGAGAGGACTTCCTCTCTGGCACCTTGGGCTTGGCCTTCCTCTTCCCATTTGCTGGTGACACAGACTTGAGAAACACAGGCACAGGGGTGAGGGCTGTGGGTGTATTCGACTGGCTGGAGTACCCACTGGATGGAGAAGTGACTCTGTGGGACTTCTCTGGGGATGTGAGCTTTGGTTTGACTGAATTACTCGGCACTTGAGGCATCACAGCCCTGGAACCATCTTGAACCTGACGAACCGGACCGTTTCCAGCTGCCACGCCACTGCTGCTGGAACACGCCACTCCTGGGTTCCCCAGGTCTTCTGGCACCCCCGTGTAGTCAATATAGTAGCCCCATGGGTCTGTGTACTCCGACTTGAGGCTGCTTGTGTCACTCTGTGATGGTGTGACCCCACACAGGGAGTACACGTTCGGGGTGGTGGCGGAGGTCATGCTGCTGGTACTGACTGTGCTCTGGCTGCGGGAGCGGGGCAGCCAGGGCTCTTCGAAGTCACTGCAGGGGCTCTGGGAGGGCGAGCTGCCGTCCTTGCACTGGAGGTTCAGCTGTAGAGAGTGCTGGAGCGTGGCGATCAGACTTTCGTTCAGCACCTGCCCATTAGGCTGGGTGCCCTTCTTAGGGATCCTGCGGAGAGAGTCAGTCCGAGAGGGAGGCAGCGGAGGCTTCTTTGCTTTCTTCAAAGAGATGCTTCGCGAAAAGGATTTATCCTGGTAATCTGGCTGGTCCCCTTGGCTTTTCTGAACCTTTCTATCAAAAACATTGATCACGCTGTGTCTGGGGTTCCCAAAGCCATCACTGCTATTGCACAGATTCCCGGATCCGTGTCCGGAGCCTGTACGTGCAGGGGTGTAGTAGCCATTGTGGTCCACTGAGCACAGGGACCTGGTGTCCTCTCTGTGTGACGTTTGGTCCAAGCTGCAGCTGCTCAGGTTATTGACAGGCATGGAGTAACCAGGCATTGCACATTGTGCCTTCTGTGGGGATGCTCTCCCACTGCCTGAGGCCTGATAGTCCCAGGGCTCGAGGCAACCATGCACTCTGCCTCCGGAATAGCTAGACTCACTCTTGCTGTCCACATCTTGGGGATGGCTTGGGAAGTTCAGGCTATTTCTACAATGGTAAGCCCCAGTTTGGGACCCATTCTCCCTATTTGCTGGAGTATTTAGAGAGACTGTTGAGTTGCAGAGGGATGACAGTGTAGTGGCATCAGGGGAACTGGTATCTAAGGCAGTCTGTGAAACAATGGTGGAGTGATTCTTATCCCATTGGCCACTGGAAGACTGAAGACCTTCTTTTACAACATGCCTGGAGAGGCGGTGGTCGCTGGGTCTTACCTTCCCATATGAGGAGGAGCTGGTGATTTTACCATCCAGCGGCCCTAAACTCTGAGCAGTGTGAATAATGATTACCTCTGAAGAGGAAGAGAGTGTGGCATTTGGGATGACGCTCGTGGAGTAGGTTGCATGAGGAGAAACCACACACGCTGGGCTGCTTCCGTTTTCAGCCTCAAAGTGCCTAAGCTCCTGGGATTTGGGTCTCAGAAGTGTTCCAGTCCTTGAGGCACCTCCCATGTGGTAGGAGAATGTGCTGTCTGTGTCTTCTGCAAGGCCCAGCACACTCAGCCTTGGCTCAAGGGGCTGCATTCTGGCCCCTGCTCCAGAGCGTGGAAGACTGTGGAAACCATCGTTGTTGAGGCGAGAAGGGAACACAATGCCTGCAGAGTCGCTCAGCACAGACATATTCCCAGAGGAGCCTGAGAGGTGGCTCATCTGGGCTGCAATGCCATGCCCCTTTTGTGCCCTGATTCTTCTCATGGAAGGTGGGACGACTCTCACTTCTTCAGTCTGGCAGCTGGAGTCTCTGGTTCCAGAGCGCTGCCCTACAGACCGAAGGCTGTCAAGCCTTCCTAGGGTAGAGTAGTGGTCCGGAGTATACATCGGGTGACCCTCAACATCTTCTTGGCCAGGGCCTGATGCTGGAGATAAAACAGAAGCAGGCATGTTATCATACTGTCATTCCCTTCTGACTCTGTTGCACTTAAAAAATATATACACATAAGTATGTATGTATGTATGTATGTATGTATGTATGTATGTATATGTATATATATCCCCCCACACATTTGACCTGGTTTCTTTTCTCCTGTAAGCTTCAAAATGGGTTTAAATAGCTCTTGACAGCTCCTAAAATAAAAACCTTTTTTAATGAATTTCATGTATTTCTCAATTGGTATTTCATATCCTCCTACAGATGGAATTCTCAGCTCCCTCCCATAGAGCTCATGGGTCCAGTGTGCCCTGCTGGAGGGCAGACTTCTCATAGAACGGTCTTTCTGCAAGACTTAGTTCAAGGTCGCCTTTCACCCATCAGGCCTTGCAAGGATCTGGCAGCTGAAACCATCTGCCAAATGCTGATGAAGGCGGATGGAGGTGGCAGTTGAATACTAGGGCTACAGAGATTCCTTTTAGGAGAGCTCCTGGCACAAAACAGTGCTAATTACATTATTATTTTTTTTAATGTAGAAAGGAACTCCTAAGAAAAAGAAAAAATGATTTACAAGCCCATCTGTGTTTCAAATATGTCATTATCCATCTTAAGCCATTATCATCTGTTTGTTGGTGACATTGACATTCAAAATCCAATCGCAATCTGTCGTGTTCTGGGAGAGGGACAGCAGCAAGCAGTACCTGCTCTTGTGAGGATGTCTTCAAATGATGGCTATTTGTTTCTTGGAACTTTACTGTCATACAGAGAGTGGTGCATTAAAAATTGTGGCGGGAAGAAGGGAAAATGGGGAGGGGGATAGATGAGAAAAGACATCACATGTGGGTTAATATTAAGAGTTCAGCTTGAAAAACACCACAAAGCCAAGAACTTATCCAAAGTGTACCAGGGGATGGAGGGAGATCAACTTATGCATAATAATTATTAGGACAAATTCCATCTTTAAAAGCAGTAGCAAAGCTATTGCTTACATTTAAAAAGGACCTGAACTGTCTCAGGCACAGACTTTGCTGAATGATGTTCTGTACCACTGGACAGCCCCACATAAATTAACCATTGTGTGGGGCATGCCCTGACTGGCTCTTAAGTCATTTGCTCTTTCAAATTGCAAAGGACTGCATGAAAACAGTGACAGAGTGTTTATATCACTGAATTATAACACTATCCTATAATAGTACACCCCATGAGGAAGGCTCCCCAGCAGATTTTGGAGAATCATTTTTTTATTATTGAGTCTTCACCAAAGAGGGTACATTTCCTCCCCCTATCATCTGCCAATACAACACACTGAACACACATACAAAACTCACACACGCACAAACCACACACATACACACACACAAAAGTCTATCCTTAGAAAGTGGGGAAATGGGCAAAAAGGGCATAAGCAAAAGAAAACTCCGCTTTGAGGAAAGAAGAATAAAAGGAGCAAGTGTTAGCCATTGGTATTTTAAAAGATGAGAGGTTGACTTGTATGGTTGGATTTGTTTGCACCCACCATTTGTTTGTCAGTTTGTCATACTGTGGTGGCGTGCATGTTGTTGTGAGGCTGGAAACTCTGCCACCGGTGTTTTAAATAGCAGCAGGGTACACCCATGCTGGGCAGGGTTCAGTTGAGCTTCCAAAGTAAGACAGACTAGGAAGACAGAGAGGCAGACTACTTCTGAATGTTTACTCATTGAACACCTTATGAATAGCAGAGGAACATTGTCAGATATAGTCCTGGAAGATTAGCCCCTCAGGTTGGAAGGCACTCAAAATATGGCTGGTGAAGAGCTGCCTCGCTAAAGAAGAGCTGACCAAGATAAAGCACATGAAGTAAAGTTTTCCAGACCTTCATTTACTGATGGGGAACAACTCAAAATGAGGAGAAACAGCTGTAAACATTCATTAATAATCAGAACCAGGAGCATATGAAGTATGACTCTAGGAAAATTGGAAGTTGTCAAAAACAAAAAAAAGAGCACATAAAGGTAGACATCCTAGGCCTTACTGAAATGGATAGATAGGTACTGGCCATTTTGATTCTGACAATCATATGATTTACTATGTCAGGAATGACAAATTCAAGAGGAATGGTGTAACATTCATCATCAAAAAGAACATTTTCAAGATCTATCTTGAAACGCAATGCTGTCTGCGATAATATCCATACACTTACAAGGGAAACCAGATAGTATAGTACTATTATTATTCAATTTGCACACTAACAACTAAAGCCAGTGATAATGAAATTGAAGAATTCTACCAACTTCATCAGTCTGAACTGATGATCAACACGCAGGCAAGATGCATTGATCATTACTGGTGATTGGAATGCAAAGGATGGAAACAAAGAAGTAGTTGGAAAATATGGCCTTGATGATTAATTGCTCTTAGGCAAGTTCAGGCTGAAGATGAAGAAAATGAAAATAAGTCCACAGGAGCCAAAGCAGGATTTTGAACATAGCCCACCTGACCTTTGAGACCATCTCAAGAACAGATTTGATACATTAGACACTAGTGAATGAAGACCCTAAAAGCTGTAGATGACAATAACAGTTCTATAAAAAAAGGTCATTAGGAAGACAGGAAAGAAAGAAAAGACCAAAATGGATGTCAGAAGACACTCTGAAACTTGCTCTCCAGCATGGACATGCTAAAGTGAATGAGACATGAAGAAGTAAAAGAGCTGAACAGAGAGTTTCAAAGAGCAGCATGAGAAGACAAAGTCAAGTATTATAATGAAATGTACAAAGACCTGGAGTTAGAAACAAAAGAACATACCCAGTATTTATCAAGCACAAAGAACTAGAGAAAAAAATTCAAACCTCAACTTGCAATATTGAAGGATTTAATGGGCAAAATATTGAATAATGTCAAAAGCATCAAAGGAAGATGAAAGCTATAAACAGAGTCACTGTACCAAAAAGAACAGTTCAATGTTCAATCATTTCAAGAGGTAGCACATGATCAAGAACTTGTGGTACTGAAGGAAGAAGTACAAACTGCACTGAAGGTACTAGCAAAAAAGAGGGATCCCAGAATTGACAAAATGCAAACTGAAATCTTTCAAGAAACTGATGCAACATTGGAGGTGCTCAGTCATCTATGCCAAAATTTGGAAGACAGTTACCTGGCCAACTAATTGGGAAAGATACATATTTGTGCCCATTTCAGAGAGATGACCCAATGATATGGGACTGAACCATATCATTAATATCACATGAACTAAAATTTTGTTGAGGATAATGCAGCAGTATATTGACAGATAACTGGCAGAAAATCAAGCCGAATTCAGAAGAAACTAGGGATATTATTGCTGATATCAGATGGATCTTGGCTGAAAGCAGAGAATACCCGAAAGATGTTACCCTGTGCTTTATTGACTATGCAAAGCCTTTCGATTTTGTGGATCATGACAAGTTATGGATAACATTGCAAAGAATGGGTATTCCAGAACACTAACTGTAGTTATGATGAACTTGTACATAGAACAAGAAGCAGTCGTTTGAACAAGGGGATACGAAATGGTTTGAAATCAGGAAAAGTTTGAAATGGTTTGAAATCAGGTGCACCACTTGAATGTCAAACATTTAAGATACCTTATTTCATACGACAATGGGTTTTATTTCCTTTTCGTTTTCAACACTGAAGTGGTTTCTGTATGTGATTGGTTGTAGTTTTTACTGTCTCTGGATGTGATAAACAAAGTCATGATACGTTCAGGTGACAGATTTGAATGTGAAACCATTTTTCACCACCTACAGCCAAGTATGAGGAACCCAGGTGGTACAATGGTGAAGTGCTCAGCTGTTAACTGACAGTTACTGGTTCAACTGCGCCATGATAGAAAATAGCGGGTGATCTGATCCAGTAAAGAGTACAGCCTAGAGCACCCTATGAGGCAGCTCTACTCTGTTCTCTGGGACACTGAGAGTCAGAATTAACTCACTGGCACACAACAAAAACACAGCCAAATATAACTTTCTTATACTTGCAAAATATTATTTTTCAAAATACCTTAAAAAATACATGAAAAAAACCTCACATATCATTTGCCATAGGTACTATCAAAATTCTATTTCTAGAATAGATCCACCAATATTTTCATAATACAAAAAGTTTCACAATATTACAGGAATTAGATGAGTCCTATGTGGATTGTAGTTAAAGAACAAAATGGAAAGCAAACTATAGACACATGTAGACCACTTTGGTGCTACTAAAAACATGGATGGACTTTGTCTAATTTTCAAATATAATAAACAAACAATTATATAACAGTGTTTCCTTATTATATCATTCTATAAAAGATTTCCCATTTAAAAACACATGCAGTTAAGGAGACAGAAATCTACAAGATAATGTTAAAGTAGAGTATACAAGTTTTTAAAAAGTTTTGTCAGGTCCTCAGTAATACTGGTAGTGCGAACTATCAGAGATTACTCAGAACATCACTCAGGTGATTCTTTAAATGAGTCCTTTACTACTTGAGGAAGATGTAAAGCAGAGGTGGGGAATATCTGACCTGTGGACCATATGTTATTGTTGTTGTTGTTGTTAAGTACCATGGAGTCGGTTCCAACACACAGTGACCCTGTGCAGGGTTTCTGAGGCCGTAAATCTTTATGGGAGCAGAAAGCCTAATCTTTCTCCCATGGAACAGCTGGTAGTTTCGAACTGCCAACCTTGGGGTTATCAGCCCAATTTGTAACCACTACGCTACCAGGACCATATAAGGCCCTAGAAATCATTTGGTCTGGCCCTGCCAAGGCAATTGCCGTTCCAGCCATCACGTTGTTGTTGTTATGTGCCGGTGAGTTGGTACCAACCCATAGTAATCCTATGCACATAGAACAAAACACTGCCAGATCATGCACCAACCTCACAATTGTTGCTACACTTGGGCCCATTGCAGCTTCTACTGTGCCAATACATCTTGTTGCAGGTCTTCCTATTTTTTTTTGGCTGACCCTCCACTTTACCAAG